CAGGATCTTGTGCTTGTCATGCAGGTACTTAGACCACTGAGCTATCTCCCCAGCCTGTCATGTAGGAACTTTATGAGTTTCCATTGTACTCACTATGACATGAACAGTCAGGGTTCCATATACCACTGTTGTTCTTTTTCAAATTCTCCCTTATTACAAATCATTTGCAGATCTTCTGTAAAATATCCTGCCTCTAAGTCAAGATGTTGGAGTGGGGTTATGAGTAGAGCTGTTAATAAACCAAAATTATATTAGAGAGTGGACTATTTGGCTGGGGAACCTGCCTTAGAGTTACCCAAACAAGGTCTCAACCACAAAAGAGAACTACAAAACTTCATAATGAAAATGGATGCAGAGATCCTCAACAAGATGCTGGCAAATGGAATGTAACAAATCCTACTATGGATAACCACTAAGAAGATAACAATGTACATTGTATTAATTATTGAAACTGTACTATTAATCAGTTTTGAAACTGTCTTATTGCTATTTGTTTCTCAATAAAATAAAAATTTAAATAAGGAATGTTTTACTTTTTGGTCATTTTGAAACAGGGTGTCACTATGCAGTACAGGCTGGCCTTAAGCTCACTCTGTAGCTCAGGCTGATCTCAAACTCATAATGATCCTCCTGCCTCAGTCTCCCAAGTAATGGGATTATGGATGTGTGCCACCATGCTGGGCCAGAATGTGATTTTAACATTCTAGAAAATTTTAATGAAATGTAATATGGGAAAATGGCTACCACATATACTGTAATGGCACTGAATTATCTATGCAGTATAATTCCGCTGGGCATAAAAAATGAATACCTTTTTGGGATTAATGATAATTATTTTCTCCATTATCTTTTTCTATATGTTACTGTTGTCAAAAAGAACTGTAATTCAATATCATGAGTTCATCATGCTCTCTTACCTGAAGGTCTTAAAAAAAAATTTGGATCTCTATTTCTGAAGACATGGAAAGTTAGATTAAGGAAATTTTTCTGTGGGGTTAGAGGGCCGAGATTTGTATTTTTAGTTTGGCATGAATGTCAGGAACAGATTGGGATATCAAATAGAAATTAATAATGATTGTTTCTTTAGGAGAATCTGAGTCTACATTACTATACTTAGCTTGGAGCAATACATTTGATTATTAGAGCTTTATCTGAGTATTTTGTACCTTGAAATATAAAGTGTAATCAGAAAACTATTATTTTTTCCAACCATGGACATTAGGGCAGTTAAATCCTTGTAGAATGTTAATGGACAACAGTTATATATTTTACAGAGAACATTTGCCGTCAGCAGTTATACATAGTCGTGCAGCACAACAGACAGAACAGATGATGAAATCTCCACATTATTTTGGCATCTCTAAATGTAGCGGCACATACACAGGATACATGTCACATAAGCTTTAGTTAAAAAAATATCATTTGAAAATTTATCAACACCAGTTGAAAAAAGATGAGTTTAGAAGTGATGAGAGCATGGGTCTGATTGCCAGGGCTGGGAAGTGACTGGACTGGAGAGCCAATGGGCATTGTGAGAAACTGCTCTCTGGCATCCAGGACTCTGAGTGTTACCAATGGGAGGCTGCAGCTTGAGTTTTTCCAGTAGGCTTTTTAAGAACTTTTCTCATCCTCTCTTGGACTCAGGATCTAATACAAAAGTTGTCACTGAAGCCACTGAAATTTATTTTCTTTTATGACTTTAAATAAAGCATAAAACTCCCCACAAA